TTAGTCTGGATTTAGCTTATTTTGTCCTCTATGATGTAGGGCTGACTGTCATAGGCAGCTAAAGAGGTCTTTATCTCAGTGGGTCTTTATCTGGTTAGATTATTGTTGTTTGTTTAAAAAGAAAAAAACAATTTAAATGACTTAATTACAAAACTACCGTTATTAGCTAACATCAACCAAAGTTTGAGTAATTCATGTTGGAGCCAAATGCTTGATTTATGATGGAATATTTATTTATAGTTTACTATTTTTGTCTGGTTTTGGTATGATATATATGAACATGAAATATTTTGGTTTGAAGTATGAATTGACTGACTTAATTATGACATTATGAATTTGTTTAGTTGTGTTTTGCTGCCGTCCATTATTTACGCCAGAGGTCTTCAACAGGGGGTCCATGACCCGCAGGGGGTCCACGGAGGTACTGCAGGGGGGTCGCGAAAGTTTTGGTTGATTAGACTTCTTTTTATATTCCCCCCTGCAATTTTTTCCACTAATCAAAATGTCTTTAAATTCACTTTGACATGAATTCAACAGACTGTAGTAAACAGATAAATGGAGGCAGAAGATATCTTTCAGTCATCAATGCACACATTCAGCGACACACAGGAGCTCTTTCAAGCTCGGCACCGTTTCATTCACCACACCTGTCCCATCAACCAGGAATCAGAATCAGAAATACTTTAATAATCCCAGGGAGAAATTACTTTGGTAAACATTAATCCATCTGTAATAGAATGACTATAGGAACAGTTTCATACAATATATATAATTAGGGGGTCCCCGCTCCATCTCGCCATCGGTTTGGGGGTCCTTGGTCTGGAAAACGTTGAAGACCCCTGATTTACGCTGTTTCTGGCCTCTGCCCCTTCATTATGGACAGGTGACTGCAGCACCTGGATTTTATTGGAGTTGGCTATTGGGGCTCTTGGATTCAGTCAGCGCAGCCATACAGTTTTTGACCGCTTTGATTATTGTTGTTTTTTTTTTTTTGAGTGGCAAAAGAGGAACGAAATGAGCCGATATGATCTGCCTGTCACGTCATATTGCGGTAAGAAAATCTAAGTTTGTTTTGATTTTGGAAAATAAAGCGTCCTGATCAAGAGGAAAGAAAGTTTGCTGATTGCATGATCACATTAAACAACATCTGACAGATCTGAAGTGAGTCTAACTTGGATGCTTCTGAACCAAGAGCCAAACGATCTTTATTGGAAAGATTGCGCTATTAATTCATGGGTGCTTTTTTTCTGTCAAAGAAAAAACTACATGCTTTAAAGGTACACTGTAACAATTTCTCTTTTTTACAATGATTTAATTGCAGATCTTTTACTATTGGTGCATTATTACCATTATTATAAATTTCTAGAGGGAAATCATTGACATTGTCCTAATCCGAAATCCCTCACCCTTTAATCTATATATCAAGTGGGGACTACAGTATATAGTGAATTTAGTTAACTGACCGTTCAGACTTATGATCACTACTTTTCACTCCCCATAGGTCATGTGACTCCAGTTCCTCGCACTGCACCATCTTTGTTCTCTCGCCCCCAAGTATATCTCCTTATGCTTTACAAGGAGAGCTTTTGCAAAGCATTCTGGGATTTATCTGCTGGTCTTGTGACCATTGATGTACACTAATTTTAAGGTGCACCGTGTGAAATTTTGAGCCCCATATTTTTTCCTCCACTTAAAAGGGAACACCATTTTTTTTTACATTGGCCGCTTGGTTTTACGTTATTACATCATGTTCTACTCACCCATATGATTTGTCTCATTTGGAGCCGTTCTGAAGATATTCCGTTAGGTTATATCCAAGTAACGTCTCCCTATGGGCAACGAGTTGAAGGCACAAACTAAACTGTTCATCATTTATTCTTTATGGTACGCCAGCATTCATAACATGTAGGCCAATCACTGTCCCCCAGACATCTGCGGTTATGCTTTTTATATTTATATTTTTTAAAAACAAAGCGGAGCGTGTATGATGTCATCCGCGCACCAGACTGGAGTTGTGACAGGCAGCCCGGGCCACAGGCGGCTACGCTAGCCTCGTGAGACCATCCTGATCTCGCGAGCGTTCAAGACTTCATTCGCTAATATTCCGGAGATTCTCCGTTGAAGAAAATTTGGAGCCGTTCACCAAACGAACGTCCAATCAGTGTTGGCTTTGAGGCGGGTTGAGGTGTGACGCAACAAGAAGCGCAACAATTCAGTTTAAATAACATGGCGCTTCAGCCGATGAAACTAGCGTTAGCGTGGCTATCGAGCAAGTTTTATCGGAATTACAGAGTATTTCTTCACTGAAAGAAGAGCAAAACACTGCTCTGGAGGCTTTTCTCAGAGGAAAAGATGTTTTTGCTCTTCTCCCCACTGGTTTCGGCAAGAGTTTGATCTATCAATTGGCTCCTCTTCGTCGTCGCTCTGTTAGTACGTCATATGCTTCGTTGATCTGATTGGTTTATTTGGCCCGTCTATCACCAACATAGGCCAATCAGCTAACCAGTATTTCCGCCCCTTCCCAAAATTACTTCAGCGGAAGGTTTCCAGATGGATATGCGGAGCAAATCCATCTGGCGGAGTCAGGTTACTACGCTCTACCCCTTTTATTCATTCAGCTAGCTACCGAGATCATCTGTGGTAGTAGCACTAGACATCTTCCAGGCATGTGAGTAAAACTAGCAGCAGTTCAGCGGACAGGATGAATGAACGGTAGACGGCGTGCTCGGATGATGTCATACACACTCCGCTTTGTTCAGATAAAATGGGGTATGTCCTATAGCTCTTTGTAGGGGTGATGATACATTCAGTGCTTTGCTGTGGTTTTTGTACAAAGAAAAGTTTTCAACAGATGACCCATTCCCATTTGGGACCACCAAAGTTTTCCCTTGGAAATGTGCCAGAGTTAATCGTCTGATGAATAAGAAAAAAAAAGAGTTGGGAAGAATCTCTTATTACAGTAGTTGTGAAAGAGCACATACTGATTATGTGGCAGGCCTAGTGTTTATGGCACAGGGCTTGGAATCCTGAGGTTGTGAGTTAAAAACCCACTCCAGACTGCCTCTATGGCTGCCACTGTTCAGCGCTCTGAGCAAGATTGCCCGAATGCTCCCTGGGCGCTGAACAGTGGCAGCTCACTGCTCCCCTAAGGGGATGGATGATGGATGAAGAGAGTTAATTTCTCCACTTTGAGATCAATAAAGTTCAATTTCGTTTTTATTTTATTTATTATGTAAAGAAATAAGAAATAAGATTTTCTAGGACAGAGCCTCAAATGGCTGTAAATAATGAATGTTTTTGTGGCGAGGGGAGGACATGCAGGAGGGACATTGTACCACAGCCCACTACTGGGCTAGTTGTTGGGCTATTTTATAAAACCTAGAACTCAACACTATTACATTTGGAATTGAAAAAGATTCCTGGATGGGAAGCGAAACGTCTTTTAATTTTTTTACTTTTCTTTTTTTGGAATTACCACAGAACAGATTCAAACCAGCAACATCTAAGTTGTCTCTGATCTATTTAAAGGTATCAGCTTTTGGTGTGTTTGCCAGCTCATTTTGGACATAAAAACTAAATAAAGGAATCACTGACAGAAAAAAAATGTGAAAGAGGCAAGAAACTATGAACTGAGAAATGAGAGATAATTACCTGGTTAAATGAACATTTCAGCTTTGGTTTGTGATTATATCTGTTTTAGAATAATGGAGGATTGATGAGGGAGCAGAGATGAGGTAAACATGACATCTTTAGAACAAGTAAAGAAAGAGAGGGAAAGTAGACTGATACAAAGAGGAAGAAATCAGAGTGGAGGACACTAGAAAGACTGAGAAGAATAAGGCGAAAATGGTACAAGAGCAGGAGAGTGTCGGAAAAAAAACAAGGAAGAAGATGATCAGTAAAAATAGACACTGCTATCACACCTTGTCATGATGTTACAAAGTTCAGACCCAAATGCAGAAAACCGAACAGAGAGATCAGGGAAAAGGTTTAACTAGTTTTATTGAAGTTAAAACAGAGGGAGAAGTGTTGCTCTGAACACTGCTCAACCGGAACTGTAAAGTGAGGGGAAGACACAGCGGTTAGTTCAGGCTCAGTGGGGAATTTGACTCATGAATTGGAGAAGAGGATTTGGTTGCCGACTCACGTTTCCAGAGAAGTTGTTGAATCCTTGGCTCCTGTCTTTGTGTTTCCAGTGTTTGTCTGATTCAGTGGAGGGCGGAACAGGGTTTACCCAGAATGCGGTTGATAGTTGGTGAACGGAGAAACTGACTGCCACTCAGATTTCCTGCGGTACTTGAACGGGTCGTAGTGGAGAATAATCCCTTTCTCAGTGAGAAGCTCAAACGATCTTTTGGGGAAAGTGGATCCAAACCTCCTGTTTGAATCCTAACTCAGTTTGAAGCTCAGTTGATCCTTCCAGGGAGAGAAGGTCCGAGAAAAATCCAGTTTGCAGGATGACTTCCAGCCAAGAGGCAAAGAGAAAAAACAAAGTTAAACTCAGGTTGACAAAAACTCAGTTCGACTGTTAACAAGGAAACCATCAGCAGGTGTGTGGGGAGGCGGACCAGAACCAGGCGCCTCCTGGTGGATGAAGGGAGACAAACACAGAAACACTAAGACAGGAGTTCTGACACACCTGACTTTTAATCTCTGAGGTGGAAATAGCTCTTGAATTAGGTCTCAGAAATCTGGTCACTTTAGTCTTTGAAAAAGTTGTAATTCCTGGAGAAGCAGAAATAATCTTTTATCTTTAATCTGGGGTTTTCCTTCTAGCTAACTTTCAGCTCAAATGTTTGATATCAGCTCATTTTCAACATTTGTAGTCAGCAGTATTGTGTGTGAATTCAGACCAGAGCATTTCAGTTTTTTTTTCTTTTGGTATAACGTAGCATCCTAATTCATTTACTCTGTTTTATAAAAATCTGCCTTTTTTAAAGTCTGCTGCTGAATGACGGCCCCCCCTGAGTAAAAGTGACACAGACTGGTTGTGATTACAGGGAAGTCCCACCTCGCCATTGTGCAGCGTGTGAACAATGAAGGTGAGGGCGACCCATTCTATGAGGTGATGGGCATCATCACATTGGAAGATGTGATCGAGGAAATCATCAAATCAGAGATTCTAGATGAGACGGACCTCTACAGTAAGTAAACAAACACGCCAGTACTCTTTGGGAGGTTAGAGTGGGAGTCTTTTACGCTCATTTTGTGTCCGTTGGTTTCTGCCTCAGCTGATAACCGCACCAAACGGAGAGTCTCCCACCATGACAGGAAGCAGCAGGACTTCTCCATATTTAAGCTTTCAGAAAACGAAATGAAAGTCAAGATTTCCCCTCAGCTCCTCCTGGCAACACACCGCTTCCTCTCAACAGGTAGCGCTGTGTTTTGCAGTTGTTTCTAGACTGAATGCAGTGAAGCAGCTCACAGGAAGCAGAAGGTGACCATTTAGTGAGTGCCTTGCAAACTAACTCATGTTGTTCTTGAAGGTTTTCCAATATTTGCAGTTTTTTAGCCGCATAGTTCAAATTCTATTTCTAAAACATAATGTTTGGCATGTTGCTGAACTATGTTCAGTCTGAGCATGAACATTTGACGAACAGTAACCAACAACAAAGGAATCGACTGTAACTTGGGAGGAGCTGCTGAGTCCGCAGCTCAGGCGGAAGAATCTGTTACAAGGCTCGATCTATTGGACTAGTCGAGAAATAACCCCTGAAAACACTACTGCGATGGAGAAACATGATGGTGGCAGTATTATGCTGTGTGGATACTTTTTTATATAACAGTTGGATGGAAATTATCTTCTAGCTGAAAAGTGACTCTTAATTTGGAGCTTCTCCTAAACAGTTTAGACCAAAACGAATGCAGAGTTAAAAGTTTGAATGGCCTAGTTAAAGTTCTAAAATCAATCTGTGGCTAAACTCATTATCAGATTTAGAAACTATATACAGTTTCTTTTGGTCAATCTGCTAAATGTTCTGTCAGAATTTGTAAGGAGTTTGGTTGAGGACTCAAATGCAGAGACAAACAGGCAGAGGTGAATCTTGTAGATTTAATGAAAAAAAAACAGAGGCAGACAAACAGAAATCCAAAATACTACGAAAAAAAATCCAGAAAGCATCAGAGAAGTAGGAAGGAGTATTTAAGGGGAACAGAACAAAGGATAGACTATTGAGCTGAATAAGGAGCAGCTGTGAGTGGAACTAAGTAGAAGGAAGCCAAGGGGAAAGAAAACAATCAGAATGGGGCAGCAGTACGGTGGCCCTGAAGTGCAAACTGCAACTACAAATCTAAAAGCGCAACTACATTAAGAAAAACAAAACTACATAAAGCAAAGCGCAACTACATTATAAAAAAACACAATTACATTAACCTACCGGAAAAGGTAGGTACCAGTGGGAAACATGAGACATCGCTGAATGGACGACAGCGCCGTTTGACCCTTGAACCGGAAGTTGCGTCGTCTGAACAGTCCAGCTTCTTTTAGGTGTGTCTTCAGTGTACGCAAACTAACAGAAATTTCGTGATTAGTCTTGAGCATATCCAGTATCACCTCGTACGTATGTCCTGATTAAAAATATTCCTGGATAACGGCAGCTATGTTTGGGGCGCCGACAATATCCATGTTTTCAAAAGCCGCAGCAGGCAGAATGACTTCCGGTTCAAGGGTCAAACGGCGCCGTTGTCCAATCAGCGATGTCTCATGTTTCCCACTGGTACCTACCTTTTCCGGAAGGTTAATGTAATTGTGTTTTCCTTAATGTAGCTGCGCTTTTAGATTTGTAGTTGCAGTTTGCACTTCAGGGCCACCTTACAGCACAGAGTAACTAAAGATTTCTTAAAAATAACCGAAAATAAATCAAAGATCAATAAAACAGAATAACTAAAAACTCCCAAAAGAGTCCCAAAATGGAAGAACCAAGTGGTATGAATACTTTTACAAGGCTGTCATTGATTTAATATTATTGTATGAAAGGAACCAAAGAGGTTTTTCGCTGGGATTCTCCCTTCAGAGTAGAAATCTCTGAAGGTGGAAATTAAAAAAATCAAATTAAGTCCTTGAGACCATTTTTTATACAATGGGATTAATAAAATGCTTATAGACAATTTTATCAAACAAAAATATTTCTTCATTCTCAACAAGGAGCATGCTTTTTCAACAGAATCACAGATGCAAGTTAAAGTGTAAATAAATGCTGAATAAATAACCTAAATTTATCCCCAGTTTGTCAGTATTTCAAGGTTTTCTATGTTACTATTTTTTTTAAATGTACAAATAATCCAGAAATCCTAGATGCAGAAAAAGCAGAAAAATAACCAATTGATATTGGTATTTTTTTAAAACCTACATTCTAGGCATCGGTCTTTCATGTTAAAGATCTGAAAACTCACCATATATTAAATACATTTCACCAGATTTTTTATTTTAGAACCCGGAAATGTTGAAATATTGGTGCTTTATGAAATCTTCCTCAAGCTCTTTCTTTTTTTAGAGGTGGAACCTTTTAAACCCGCCCACATCTCCGAGAAGATCTTACTGAGGCTGATCAAACACCCCAGCGTTGTCCAGGAACTCAAATTTGATGAGAAGAACAAGCGAGCTCCACATCACTTCCTGTTCCAGCGCAACAAGCCGGTGGACTACTTCATCTTAGTCCTGCAGGTAGCGGCTGTTGGCTGAAGCGTGACGTACAGGCGGCTGTCAAACACCTCCGTTACTGTGGTGTTTTTATCTTTTCAGGGCCGAGTCGAGGTGGAGTTCGGTAAAGAATCGCTAAAGTTTGAGAACGGAGCCTTTTCTTACTATGGGGTACCTGCCATCATGTCAACCGGTACAAACACACATTCATGTTCCCATCAACTTTCATTAGAGGGAAATTGTTAACTGAAGTTCTGACCAAGATTCAATATCAGTTATTATGTCATTAAGTCATTTGAACTCAATAACGACACGAGGCTCAAATCTCTCATTAGGGTACCCATGTTGTAGTTTTTCTGATACAGCAGTTTTGCATCAGTCCAGTTTCCATTCACCTGCCTCATTCCTTGCAGAATCAGCAAAGCTAAACCAGCTTCAATTGGGAAAGTTAGCACCTAGCCAAGATCAGACATCTCTGCTTGGCTCAGGTCTGAGGGACGTTTTCGTTCATGACTTCACAACCACCAAATATGACCAATGAGATAAACAAAATAATTTTTTGAGAATCGGCTTCCATACAGTCCTCTTAAATCATGCCCCAGGGTATCAGATGCTCATCCATATATTTCCTCCTGACAGTGGCCAGATCGTCCTCCCACAGCAGCGGCTTGGAGCGCTCTGAGTCAACGCTGTACGCCGGAAGCCCGGGCCAGCTGAACGGAGGGGGGACCTTCTACCTGCCTGACTACTCTGTGAGGCAGCTAACACCCCTGCAGGTCCTCAAGGTACAAAGAAAGTTATGGTTTTGCTTACATCTGCCCCACTGGTGCTTTAATTCAAACAGCGACATTGGGTTAGCATGTTGGGGTCCAGAGACATGCACAGCCATGATTTTTCTGACTATTTGACCATCTGTTGGTTGTTTTATAAAGTTTTAAAGTCTGCTTTGGGTTGTAACAAATGGAAGACACACTATTTTTTCAAAAGTATTGCCTCACCTGTAGAAATCACTGTTCAAAGTGTATAAAATCAAGACCCTCTGCAATCAGACTGCTGCTACAAAGAGAGCTGAGTGAGTCCCAGTGTGGTTCTGTGATAGGACAGTAAAAATTCTCACACCTGGATGATGTTGCAGATATCACAGGTGACCAAATACAGGTCCACCAGCTTCTCCACTTTCTTCAAATCAAAGAAAGATCGGTCCCAATCAATTAAACTGTGTTTTTGAAGGTTTGTGAAGCACACTCTTTTTTTATGCTTTTTTTTTTTTTTTTTTTTATTATTATTGACAAAAATGAATAAAATGGTTTCAAAGGCTGGTGCTACATGTGTGCTGGTTTGTGCAACAAAAAAACTTTAGTTTGTGTTGCTGTCAGTATTTTATTTGAGGGTTGAGGACCCAAAAGCAGAGGCAGGCAGGCAGAGGTGAATTTATGGTTGATTTAATGAAGAGTAACTGAAAAAAGTCCAAACAAACAGGCAACAAACAAGAAACCAGGAGTCCAAAATTCTAAATTCAAAACATGAAAAAAAAAAGTAGAAAACAAACCAGACAACCATGGAGACGTCAGGGAATCAAAACTTAAGGAGGAAGGCTCAGAGAGATGAAGTTGGAGCATGTAAGACGAAGAAAGACGAGGACCCAGCAGAAAGAGAGAGCTAATGAGCAGATAGGAAACAGGTGAGCACAGAGCAGAAACAAAACAGGAGCTAGGGAAAAAGGAGAACACCAGAGGGCAGCAGAGGGCAACAAATATAGAAACCTGGAAGACTGACAATAAGTAGAAAGCACAACAAAATAATAATTAAACCACTAAGACAAAAAAACATGGAGAAAAGTAAAACTAAACACTCAAAAGAAAACAGAACAGAACCAAGACTGAAACTGTAACAGAGAAAAAAAACAGAGAAAACAATAAACTAAGAATTAAACCATAATAACTAAGAAACAAGGAGAAAATCAAAACTCGCCACTCAAAAGAAAAACATCAAAGAAAACAGAAACCTAACAGTTGCAATCATTTTAAGAATTAAAGTGCCAGAGGTTAAAGGTACTGCGTTGCAAAAGCAGCACAGATCAATGTGCAGAAAAATGTTTGCAGCAAAAGTCTAATTTAAAGCAAAAGGTTTTTTTTATTTTTAATTTTTTTCTTTTTTTAGTTTAAAGTTTTTTATTAGTTTAAAAGTTGAAATGCATGAACTTCATTTGAATTTAATTAAAGGAAAAGTCTGGTCATATTCAAAATTTAAACTTCTGAAAATACTTTAAATATAAAATTATTACATACTGTTCAATAAATAATGAGAATTTTTTAATTAATAGTCATTTTCATGTGAATGTGCTTTACTGGAGGCATCCATGTTTGACAAAGAACACTACTGCCACCTACTGGTTTGTGACGTCACGGTGCGGTATCGGCTGTTGATCAAGTCCCAGTGCTGTATCTGGTGTTTGTCACAACGCGCTATTATCCAACTCATCTTGAAAACATTCTTCTTCCAAATGTTGGCTACGTATACTAACCCAGAATCCTCCACCTTTAATATCAGATCACACGAAGCCACTACCAGAACGCGCTCACAGCCTCACGGATGGACAGCTCCCCTCTGACTCCTGACGCTGACGCCCGCCTGGCAGAGGCCAACACCCCGACCCCCGATCCTTCGGCTACAGAACATGCTGCGACACTCATGCCCTTCCAGCCCACCACGGCCACGCTGCTCCCCCCGCCCAGGGAGCCCGGTCGACCCAGCTCTGCCCGGACCAGAGGACAGCAGTCCAACGTCCCACACAGCACCTCTATACTGAATGAGAAGAACCGGATCGTCCGTAAGTGTGTTTAACTCCTGACAATATGGAATAGTTTAGCCTGAAGTTAGTAGAGGATTATGTAAGTCAGTGCGATTGGTAAACAATGCTAAAGTCTAATAGTGACATAGTTTCTGATGTGCTTTTTTTTTTCCTGGGATGCACTTTAAAAGGCAGCAACTTAGATAAAACGAAATTAAAACGAAAATTGAGCTAGAAATGTATGGAGTGAATTTTGTCCCATTATTGTTGCAAGCAAAGAACACGCTTTGTGAATGGAAATTTTAGGGAAATAAACGCAATCCAGAAAATCGTCTTTAACAAAATAAGGATTTCAGAGTAACTTTGCTGTTTTTCTTAGATTTAATATTTTCTTTCCAATGTTTTCTCAGTTTTTGTCACATTTTATCTTTTCAAACTTTATTTCATTTTTCAACAGATTTTTGTTTTCAAAGTCAACTTTTTTTTTCATGTTTTTAGGTTGAATTTTACGCATTGCATAGCACAGACTTCACTTTAAGCCCAATCCAAATGCTCGCTCTTAACAGACACACTGACCAATAAAAATGTTTACACTAATGTCCAATAAACCTTCAGAGGAAAACCCAGAGGTGAAGAGAATTTGATTTGTAAGGCCTCATTTTAAAAGAATTTGTAAAGCTTGGTCTAAAAGAAAATTGAAAAAAAAAAATTCAAAATATAAAATCTGAAAAATATACAAGGAAAATCTGAAAAAAAAAATATGTATAACATTGGAAAAATATATATAATGAAAAAATAAAAACTGAGAAAACAGCAGCGCCACAATGAAAACCCTTTTTGATTAAGAACTTTTTCAAAGTTTCATTTCTAGATTACATTTTCTTTGTATTTAAGTTTACAAAACATCTTCTTTGCTTGTTTGATAATGGAACAAAAGCCTTTCCGTAGAGGTGAAGGAATTATCCAAGGTAAGGGTGGTGATGGTAGATGCAATGATGGAGTCATAGATTTGCACTAATTTGTTTAAGCATCCAAGCTTTTACCCAGTGCCGTGCATAGACATTTTTGTGGGCAGGTGCTAAGCTTGGAAAAAGGGCACCTTATACGTCACATGAAGCTGCCAACAGCTAAACACCACCTGATGCTAACGTTTAACATTCTTTCGCAGTGCAATGCCACATTGGTGTCAATTAATGAAATAACAATTTAAAACACTCAACTCTGAAAAACAATAGACTACATTGATTTTTTTAACTTTATTTTTTCATTTATGTGAATAAAAGAACACAATTAAAGACTAGAGCACAAAAAAGATGATTAACCTGAACTTACTGCTCTTAGTTTTCAGCGGCAGGAACTGATTACACTGTACAACACAGCTGCTTCTAGTTTACATGTAGCTGCTGTTATCGTGTCTTTAAATGTGTGATGATCCCATTTCTTCAGTAGCCTTCTTCTGGAGACTTATTAAAATATCAGTGTCTCTATATAATTAAGGCAGGGTGGTCTTTGCCGTAATTGCCTTATTGATTGCACTCATAAATATCTTCCATAAATATGTCTCACTTTTTTAAAATTTATCACACAAGTTTCCAATGTACATAGAAATAGAGAAGTCTAATGCAAATCCCAGAATTCCAGATTGTATTTAAGTTTATTTCCTATTGATTTGAGTGGATATATTTGACAATTTGCAGATGAACCAAGATTTACTCTTAAAAAATGAAAAAATACCCAACTCTATTATCTTATTTCAAGTGCATAATTTGTAGTAATCTTATTTTAAGGTTAAAAATACTCAAGACTGAAAAAAGAACAACAAAAAAACAATTTTATGAGGACACTTCTTTTGTCCTGACCCGCTGTCTATCTGTGGATCTGTGGACATCCCTACTTTTAACTATACACTGCAAAAAAAAATGGAAATCTAACTAAGTCATTTTTGCTCAAATTAAGTGCATTTTTTCATGAATTGAGGAGGTAAGTGAGACACTTTGCCAATGGAACAAGACAATTTACATTTACAATAAGAAAAAAAACTATTGCTTTTTCTTATTTCAAGTGTATATTATCTAATTATCTTATTTTAGTAGTAAAAATACTCATTCCATTGGCAGATCATCTTATTTGGCTGCTCAAATTAAGGGTAAGTTACTTAATTTAAAACATCTTTTACTTAATTCTAGATGTTTTTGCAGTGTAGCTAGTTGGTCCTAGAACATTGTTGTATGTTGGTCCCTGATCTGTCCGATAAATCAATGCTAGATCCAGTGATATTATGGACATTTTAGTGCAAGCCAAGAGGGACCATTTTCCTGATGGATCCACACAGCACAGTGACAGTGTGTGAATACATGTGTGTTTTAGGGAGTAAGTCCGACGGCCAGAAGAGTCCCAGTGACTCTGTGTTTCTGAGGATGGATGAGATCCCATACATCAGAGAGGACAGAGCAGAGATGGACACATGCTCCGGTATGTCTGTTTCTTTGCTCTGAAAACCTGCTTTAATGACCCAGATTTTTATGTTGGATTTAAAAGTTGTCTTGTTCTGTGTTTCTTTGGGTTTATGTGCTAAATAGGAGCACAGCCAATAAACCATGACAGGAACAGTAAACAAACTGCAAACAAAAAGCTGACACACTCTTAAATTCGTTGGGAAACCATATCTAAATGTCAAATCATTCTGGCTTAAATATGTATATAAACGTACTTTTTATCAGACCATATTGTCCCAACATTTAATTCAATTCAATTCAGTTTATTTCTATAGCGCCAAATTCACAACACGTCATCTCAAGGCAGTTCACCAGATCATCCAGTCAGATTGATTCAAAGTTTTCTATCTAAGGAAAACCAGTTGATTGCATCGACTCATTGACTCAAATACAATCCCTCACACCAAGCATGCTTGTAGCGACAGTGGAGAGGAAAAACTCCCTTTTAACAGGAAGAAACCTCCAGCAGAACCAGGCTCAGTGTGAGCAGCCATCTGCTGAGGCCGACTGGGGTTCAAGGAGACAGAAGCAGAGACACAAAAAGCAGCTGTAAAAGGCGGCCCCGTCCAGGAAACACACAGCCAGGCAGACGAGCTCCGAGCCAGCTCCCATGTCTGAGGACGAAGAGAGCACATCCAGCCAGTCACGGTCAGAGAAACAGGACTACACTGGAAAACAGGCCGATCTCCAGCATCTATAAACAAGGGTGTTGATGGAAGCAGCACAGCTGATGTTTCTCTCCAGGATGGAGTCACAGCCAAACAGGAACAGACGAGACAAAGCGACTCTGAGGAAAAGCAGCGGGAGCATAACTTTCTATTTTAAAAAATCCTGTCTTAAAATCTGTTTTTTTTTTTCATTATCTTATACTGGCCAGTTAGTTAAACGTCAGCTTGATTCTAAATTCCTAAATTCGGCCAATCATATATCAACAGTCATCTGTCAATCAAATTTTTTTGGTCATAGCCTCTTGATTCATATGTCGCAGCTAATATACGGTTGAAATCAGAAATAAGAATCCTTTCCTTTCCCATTGAGTTCCGTCCCAGTGTTCACGGGGATGGACGTCTGTGTCTTCAGCAGGCGTAGAGCTAACAGAACTGGCAGCGTTGCGAGGCAAGGGCTCAAACATGTACGGCTGGAAGCCTTCTACATCAAACCAAGCTTCTGCCGCCCTGGCGTCCTCTTCCACAACATCTTCGTCCCCGCTTTCCTCCTCTAAATAAAAAATGGATGACGGAGGAGACTCATCCACGACCTCCGACACTAAACTCTCCTCCTCTTTCATGTTTCCTCTGTCCATAGCGTTCCTTGACAGTGTCGTTTCTAAGTCACCAATTTAGTGCTACTTGGTCCCAATGGAATTTCCCATTGGGAACCAACTAGCACTAAGTTGCTAACTGGTTAGCAAGATGCTTCAAAGAAACCGGCCACAATTAAACTTGCTTGCGAACCTTTCACCACAACAATCCTGCCCCCCTTGATAATCCACCAATCACATTCACTTTATTCACTCGTGTAAAGTCGGACGCCACTTGGGAGAATTCAGAAATGCAACGGTTGGAACAGCCACTTCCCTACAACTTTAAATATTTAGAGAACTTAGTATCTGTAAAACCTATTTTCTCTCTAGAACACGATGTGAGGATGATGTATCTGACTGCATGTGAAAAATAATCATGCAAGTCTGGCAGCTGTAACAAAGACACTGGGCCTCATGCAACAACATTTTCGTACTCTTGTCGTACATTTTTCTTGCTTTTTCTCCCACAGTGGGTTCTTACGAATATTTCACATCAGATGCAACAAACGTTGATAACTTCAATGAATGATCATAAACATGATGCAGTCCACCCTGCATAAATGAGCCATATCATGGTAAAACTTCCAGCACTTGTCTGAAGGTGTTCATTCACTAAAAATGCATAAAAATGTAAAAGAGACACTTTAACAGTTTGGAGGTTCTCCTGATCGAGAGCTGCCAATCAGAATTAAAGGACCAGTAAAAAGCCGAGCAGTGGAGGGATGAATCACAAGAGCTGAAAAATGTCCTGGTTACACTGTTATAGAGCTAAAAAGAGAATAATAATAATAAAATTCAAAATATTTTGATCCAAAAATAGTTAATGAAAACTATAAATCGAAGCAAGAGGTGCCGCATACAATGTAAATGCTTAATATGCTTTCACCATCAACCATCACGACAAAACGATCAGCAAACTCTCCTTTTAATACTTACACAAACCTGTACTATTTATCTTTAGACCATGATCGGGAGATCCTCTCTCTCATGCATGGACGTAATCTTTTTTTTTTTTTTTTTTTCATGTCCTGTCCAAAAACAATGTTATGCTACAGTATACAGACGTTCGTCGACGTGAATCTGCATCAAGCAGAAAAGTGCAGCTCAAGCTTGAAGCCATTCAGTGTGTTTGAAGCAGGCTTCAAACACACCGAAGTTAGTTAAAGTATATAAAAAATTACTTGCTTCCACCCCTGAAATCTGAAATCTAAATTTCATCCATGCTGTGATGCAACACAAAAATGTTAATGGTGAAACTCTGATTTAATGAATTCAGACAAATTATTCTTATTTAGTGTAATACAGCCAATGAGCTTCCATGGAGTGACATGAATGCAAGTCTCACCGTTTTAAGCAGCAGCACATTTCTGCACCTCTTTTATAAACTTTCTGTCCTTTTTCTGTACCAGATGTTATTTCTATAGTAGTTTGATCTCACATAGAGATCATGGACTGTTATTTCTTTTGACTAAATGGCAACAAATGAAACCACATTACAAAAAAATGAAATTCAACTTGTTTTTTCTTAAAATAAGTGAATTTGTTCTTAGATCGAACAGGTGAGAGATTTTGTCAATGTGTCCTTTTTACAGAGACCTGTTCAAAAACATGAAAATCTCATTCTCATTTTTCTACTTTTCAGACATGGCCTCTGTTCCCATAGAAACGGATACATCGCCTTTCATCAGCAGCCTGTCGCTGAGTGGCTCGGAGGACACGTTGGGCAAGAAACTGCTGCTCAAACTCAGTCAGTCTGTCTTTCAGTTCCTCTACATCTTTGCTCCTACATCACTGTGAGGAAATGAGGCCTCCTGTAGCAGCTTACAGCCTTTAGAGATTTACCCATTAATTATTATCCAAACTAAACTTATTTAGTTCACTGTTCAAATAAATGCTAGACTACGTATTTTTCTATACAGGGACTGGATATGGCCAAAAACGAAAAAGTTGTTAGTTTAAGGTTCCTGCTCTGAAACAGAAACTTATACTTTACAATAAACAGCTTAACAAATCCGGATTCTCCCTTTCGATCTGAAACTTCTATATCTGTAAGTATTCTGGCACAACAAGACAGTTTCTTCCAAAAAAAGAAAATTAAAAACAATCCACTGGACTTTGTTTCCAAGACGTTTCGCTTCCCATCCAGGAAGCTTTTTCAATTCAAAATGTCAGGAATAGCATTGAGATTGAGGTTTTATACAGAAGCCCAACAAAGCCTTTTTTTTTTTTTTGAAAACATGCAAGTACATGTAAATAAAAAAAAAAAATGCAAATTGGAACAGATGAAGGGGTCCACCAATTTTGAATGGGGGGTCGTTTGGTTTCTTTTGTTAGACTGCAATTCCCCATACCCATCTAATTGTCTGAAAGGTCAGTTTGTTGTTCTCTGCTTCTACAGCTTAAACCGGCTGCAGCTGGATCAGATATTCTTTTATTTTCTAGCCTGAATCAATTCCTAAACCAGTATTAGTTCTGTTCAGTTCTCTTGCTTTACAATGATACAATTAAAAGTTATATGACTCTAAGCAAAATTACAATGGAGTATTAGCCCCAGCTAGAACATTTTTTTTCTTCTATTTTGAGAATAAAATCATAACATAACGAGAATAAAGTATGTATATTATGAGAATAAAGTCGTACCATTATGAGAATAAAGTCGTAACATTACGACAATAAAGTCATAACATTATGAGAATAAAGTCGTAACATTACTAGAATAAAGTTGTAAAATTACGAGAATAAAGTCGTAACATTACAAGAATAAAGTCGTAACATTATGAGAATAAAGTCGTAACATTATGAGAATAAAGTCGTAACATTACGAGAATAAAGTCGTAACATTATGAGAATAAAGTCGTAACATTACAAGGAAAAAGTCGTAACATTACGAGAATAAAGTTGTAACATTACAAGAATAAAGTCGTAACATTATGAGAATAAAGTCGTAACATTACGACAATAAAGTCATAACATTATGAGAATAAAGTCGTAACATTACTAGAATAAAGTTGTAAAATTACGAGAATAAAGTCGTAACATTACAAGAATAAAGTCGTAACATTATGAGAATAAAGTCGTAACATTATGAGAATAAAGTCGTAACATTACGAGAATAAAGTCGTAACATTATGAGAATAAAGTCGTAACATTACAAGGAAAAAGTCGTAACATTACGAGAATAAAGTTGTAACATTACAAGAATAAAGTCGTAACATTATGAGAATAAAGTCGTAACATTACTAGAATAAAGTTGTTACATTATGAGAATAAAAGTCGTAACATTACAAGAATAAAGTTGTAAAATTACGAGAATAAAGTCGTAACATTACAAGAATAAAGTCGTAACATTATGAGAATAAAGTCGTAACATTATGAGAATAAAGTCGTAACATTACGAGAATAAAGTCGTAACATTATGAGAATAAAGTCGTAACATTACAAGGAAAAAGTCGTAACATTACGAGAATAAAGTTGTAACATTACAAGAATAAAGTCGTAACATTATGAGAATAAAGTCGTAACATCACTAGAATAAAGTCGTAACATTATGAGAATAAAGTCGTAACATTATGAGACTGAAGTCGTAACATTATGAGACTGAAGTCGTAACATTATGAGAATAAAGTCATAACATTTCGACAATAAAGTCATAACATTATGAGAATAAAGTCGTAACATTACGAGAATAAAGTCGTAACATTATGAGAATAAAGTCGTAACATTATGAGAATAAAGTCGTAACATTACGACATTGAAGTCGTAACATTATGAGAATAAAGTCGTAACATTATGAGAATAAAGTCATAACATTATGAGAATAAAGTCGTAACATTATGAGAATAAAGTCGTAACATTATGAGAATAAAGTCGTAACATTATGAGAATAAAGTCGTAACATTTTAAGCATAAAGTCGTAACATTATGAGAATAAAGTCGTAACATTATGAGAATAAAGTCGTAACATTATGAGAATAAAGTCGTAACATTATGAGAATAAAGTCGTAACATTATAAGCATTAAGTCGTATTATTACGAAAATAAAGTTGTAATATTACAAGAATAAAGTTGGTCCGGAGACATTTTTAATTGTAATCTGTTACTTTAAACAGAATTTAACAATGAAATAAATGTTGCACATTGACTTTTAAAATAAAAAAAATATAGAAAAAAAAGTCATTCAGTTTAGTATATAGACAGTTTCCTGATACACATATTTTATAAAACACCTGAATTGACAATTTTTTGTTGTGTTTTCTTTCTTTTTTCTGTCTTAATGTTGGCAGTGGGCTTTATGCTGCCCTGCAAGGCTTTAAACCTGGGTTTGAATGGAGACTAAGCCATTCTCAAGCACATATCAAGGAGCTCATTTTGAGCCTGGATCCAGATTTATTTTTGATTCTGTTCATGGTGGAGAATCCTGCTTCACAGCAGCAGGTTGAGCCAAACATCCTCTAAATGTGCAGGGTCATCTTTGAGCGCCATTTCACTTTTCTTTCACCAGTTCACCGCAGTTCTTCCAGCAGTCCACACTTTCTCTGCTCTCATTTTCTCATCTTATTCTCCTTCTTTCCCATCGCCTGGCTTTCAAAAGGTTTCCATGCTGTGTCTAAAAGTAGCAGCAGCAGCAACCCAGACTGACAGCTCATTGGCTCATATGCATAATGTTTAGCCTGGTCCCTGAAGGCTTTACTGTACAAACAGGAGAAGCGGCGCAAATGAAATTAGACACTGCTTTCAGACAACAGGAGGTCATTTATAAATGTTTCAAATCAGGTTGGGTTCAGATTAGCCAGCAGGTGGGTCCAGATCCAGACCACGGTCCAATAATCTGTGACCTCTGGTCTATAGGGTACAAATTAAAAGTTTGCTTTGCCAAGCTAGATTTGAATCAATTCAGTGCTGTTTCCAAACAAACTGCTAAAAAAACTGTGTGAAATCAGTGTCTAAATGACTTTTCACATCTAACTACTTTTTTGTGGTGAAGAAATATCATCCCTTCTCACCATGGGGCCAGGTGGAAACAAATATGAGCCCAAATATGAGTCCTGTAGGACCCCCACATTATAGATATTAGCTTGATATATTGTTACTGAGGCTGATGAAGAAACTTTGCTGCTTTAAATTAAACATGACCAACTCTAGAAATTAGGTTAATATGAGAAAACATTACATTATAAATGTTCTAAACTTTCTCTTGATATTTTGATAATAATAACGTTTTTCTTTTATGTCTTGTTCTCCCAGGTCACAAGAAACGGAAAAAGTCCTGTGAAGGAGACAGGAGCCCAGAGGACATTTCAGAGCAGCCACTGGTGAAAACCTAGCAGTGTCTGTGAAACAGAGCAGAAGACTCCATCATCTGATGGTTACTTAAGCAGTTTGTAAAGACTACCACTATCAGAGTTTTATCTGAAATCACTCTCCACTCACCTGCACTGTTGGGACTTTAAAGTAAAACTATCATGTGTTGTAAGAGGTGGTGAAAACCATCATTTTGGACTTCAGGTTGTGAATTAGAAACAATCATTAAAATGATATAGCTTCTCATCTTTTCTGCTCTACTTTTTTCACAAATAGCTCTAATACATCTTTTTTAAGTCAAATATTTCTGTTTCAGTTGAGATGAAATTCAGACCAAATGTTGGTAACCATGCAAGTCCGCCATACCTACAAGGGAATCGAAATCGGAATGTATATTGAAGAGGGATGCTCCAAAAAAAAATAAAATAATTAAAATTACTGCTGCAAATCAATATCAGTAAGTTTGATATTAAATTATGGCTTATAAAAACGGCTTTTAAAGACTGAAATTAAACATTGGGCTGTGATTGGGTAAAACAGACTTTCCAAAAGGAAAAAGAATCCAAGCCATTGTGTCCCAATTTTCTAATTAAAATGAATCAATAAAAATGCTTTTTCATTTTCAAAATAAAGCAGAATTTATTGAATTATAAATATATAAAAAAAATTAAACAACCAAAACCAAGACTGCTTAAATTGAAAAAAATAAATAATAATTTAAATTATTATTAATAATAATTTATATTAATAATTTTTTACATTAAATTTATTTTTAAAATTTCCCAGAAAAAAAGTGACCAAATTTCATTTCCAAACGGCAAATTATGAACATGGAAATGTATTAACAAAAAAAAAAAACACAGTTTGGATGATTTATAGGTCATTTTATTCACAAGTTAAAAAGAAATCTATGATTTTGAAAAGAAACAGCATTTCTGTTAATAAATTCCAATTTTCAAACATTTGCGTTCGAAAATGAAACACGACTGAAACAAGCTTTATTGTTGTTTTGTACACACAGAGGGTATACAAAACGAAATTTTGTTGCATACAGCTCACAACAGTGTAAAGATATTGCAGATAAAGTAGATAAACATAATACATTTTGCAGGGAAATGTTTTAAACATTTAATCTAAAACATTATTTAATTGATCATTTTAATTAATTCACAAACTGAGCAGTTCTCAAAGAGGAAACCAAAACTTCAGCTTGGGTGATTTATTATTTTATTTGATTAATTATTATTATTATTATTATAAGTCTAAAAATGCAGATTTCTTTTTTTTTTTTTTATGAAAAAGCATTTCTAATAATCCATTTAAATCAGAAAACTTGGACAGATTTGCTTCAATTATCCTGTTAGAAAATAATCCTAATGTTGGAAACATGAAAGCTGTAATGGTTACCGATGCATCTTTAAACTCCAGGATTAATTTATCCTGAAGTGGAAATAACATAATTTAAACACAGATCGGCCATGTGCAGGTGCTCCCTTAAAGTTTCTTTAAAAAGAGTCCAAATACTGAAAAAAACATGTTAAAGAACCAAGACAGCGTGCAAATAACTGAATGTAGTGTACATAATTAAGGACAGGTCATTTTAACATTTAGACATTTCTACAAATTTTCAAAAACAGCAAATGCTATGAGACTCGAAGCCAAAGATCCTCCGAACATGATGATTATACCTCATGTTTGGAGGGAGAACAGTTTAAAACCAATCATCCAAAATATAGTCTAGAACTGGGAGAGGTTTTATAGTTGAGGAAACAAGGATGGACAAATATGCTGCAGTATTCTTGATAAATATATATGAATATATGAAACAAGTAATAATAATAATGCACTTTATTTATAAAGCGCTTTACATTTGTAAAAAAGAAATAAAAAATAAGATTTCAAATTGCTACAAATGAAAACTGAAAGCAGACACACACAGTGTTACAGTATGACACATTCAATGGAACACATGCAGTGTAACAACAATACAACCTATTGATATCATAATAAAACCTCACTGATAGACTTTTATACATAAAAATTGTTTAAAAAAATGTTTAAATGTTTTACAATTTATTGATTTCAGGAAAATAAATGCAAATCCCTGGAGTGGCCTAGAATCTGACTTATAACAAATTGAAAATCCATTAATAAGGACCTTCCAGATTTGAAAACCGTTGCTTCCCAGACTCCAACAAAGTCCCACTTCCTCATTGCAAAATATATCTTAAAGGTGCATAGTCACATTATATGCCTGTACAAAAAATAAATAAATAATTGTTACTGAAAAAATAATATCACATACACAAACATCCGTCCTAATGATGTTTAAAATAGTGCTTTTAAGCCTAAATAGAATTTCAGCTCTGGGGCAATGAGCTGACATAAACAGATGAGCCACCTGCTGGTAGTAATGCTGAACTACCAGAGAGCCAGATAGGGACATTAAAGGAATAGTACACCCAAAACATGATTAGCCTTCATTTTCTACTCACCCCCATGCTGAACAACACTCTGGAGTACTTTTTTGATATCTCAAATGCATCTGGAGATCTGGGAGGCTTCTTGCTGTCTTCCTGCAATCCTTTCACTTTTACAATCCTTGTCAAAACTGACAGCTCATTATGGAAGACCAGCAGACATTTATAAAATACAATTATCTACAGAAACTCTAGTGAAACATTCTTGTGAATCCTCCCAAAAGCCTAAAATAAAGCAATAAGATACAAATCAATCAATCAATCCACCGATCAATCAATCATACTAATAGACCGTAGAGATTAATAGTGTGTTAAAACCAAATGTGAAACATGCAAAAAAAATCACCAATTACATGGGCTTTGGCTCTTTGCACAGAAGGTACATTTGCACAGTGGGCAAAAGGCTCCAACATGTCATTAAATTATAAATTCAGATGGGTGATCTTTAATAAAACATATTTGTGTGATGTGACAAACTAAGAGGACTGATTGATTTCTACTATACATGGTATTTAATCCTGACACTGGGACAGTATTCTCCAAAAACACAGGGGGCAGTACAACACAACCAGTGAAAAGGTAGTGGGAGAGAGAAGAAATCATTCACACACACCAGTAGATTTTAGACTGAGGGCGTTTCTCAATATGCGTTCTTGAGCGTTCTCGTTTACTCGTGACACGTCATCAGCCTCAGCCCGAGTACCGTTCCAATTCTCGAGAACGCCAGATCGAGAACGCACCAAATCCCCGGATGTTGTTCTCGCCCCGCCCTTTTTATCGAGCATGCATCAGAGCAGACTTGTGCGTTCTTCATACTGACCGCTTCCCCAGAATGCACCGCGTCCGCAGCTTGATTCGAGACAGCACTCACAGTGTTAAGTTAAACATTCCCTTTTCTGCTGCTGTTGTTCTTCAAAAGTACGTTTTGAAATCGTTTGAGGCAATAACATTATACATTGAAGCCTCCCTGTGTGGCCTGTTTACAGAGTTAGTGCGAAATAAAAAAAAAAAGTCAGACGTTGAGCGGACCAGAGTGACCAGCAGACCTCCGAGGGTAACCGCAGCCAGGGCTAATGTTACCCCGTCTGTAGTGCACTTCTCTCGGTCTAGTTATGTGTGAACTACCGCTCGTTCTGATGGCGGTTTTTTGCGGTTCGGTAATTTTTTTAAAATGTTTTTTAAGCTTTAGAAATTAAAAATTTTGTTTTCAAAATGTTTTGTGTAGGGAATAAATAGTTTTGACTGTTAAAGAAATGCTAAAGAACGTTGCATTTGATGACGTCACGAGTACGCTTCTGTTCCAATACACATACGTGCTTGCGTGCTCGCGTTCTCGTCAAGTCCGATCTTCCTGCGTTCTCGCCAAGAACGGACTTCACGAGAATGCGAGTACATACTCGCATTCTCGTGAATTGAGAAACGCCTTGAAAGTAAAACCATAAGTAAAACCACCATTGGACCTCTTTGTAAAGGATATAAAACTTCAGACTTTAATTAGTATGTACAATCTAACATTATATAGCTCACACTTGTATGATTCACCTACATTTCTTTGTTTGTCATTTTGTTTTTGTTCTGTTTTAAAAGTAACTAGTTATTTGAGTGTGAAACGTCTTCATCTCATTCATCTAAAAGGAGAAGTGTGCATGTGGTCTGTAGTGAGTAAAATACAAAATCACTAACGCGCACACAGTTGGCATGGAGCATAAGCCAGGCTTTAGATACAGAGGTGTAAAGAGCTGGTGTGAAGTTGTTTTTTGGACGGGGTTGATCCTTCAGGTCAAAAGAAAATACCTCTTCCACAGCAAGAGTCTTATGATATGTGTCCTTATGATAAAGGGAAGCCTGTCCCCAGAATGTTTCTATAATGACACAGATGAGCTAGTTTAGAACAGAGGCTGTGAGCTCATCAGTGTCTGACCTCATCAATCCTCTTTGAAAATCAGTCAACTTTTTAAAGGAAAAGTCCGGTCAGTAAGGGATGATTAGTGGATTATCTATAACTAATACGTTTGTGGTAATTTAATTAATTTAGTATTAATCAGTAAAAAAATACATAATACATTTCGTTGCGATCCCAGAGTCTAGGAGCGGCCATTTTTGCCCAAATATAGTAACCCCTCCCTCCTGCCATCTTCCGGTGTAGGTACCAGATTGACTCGGGCTGCCAGATTGACTCGGGGGCCTGCGCCTTTTGATGACGTCATAATATGGCAACGCCACTCGTAACGATATGGCAACTCCACTCAAACAAACTACATTGCGCCCGCGGTGTATATTTGTCACAAATGTATTTTATTTAGCCAATAAACGGTAATCGTTTGGCACTGTCCGTTAATTGACCAAATACCTATAATACATTAAAACATACATTTTTCATAATTTTTTTTACAGATTACAGGAAATGGGTATATATTTTTTTCAGTTCAAACTTTATTCTCATGAATTTAATGTCGTTACAAATGCAGACCGTGGGCTCAATGTAGTTTGTTTGAGTGGCGTTGCCATAATGTGACGTCATCGGGAGGCGCAAGGCCCACGGCGAATTCGGTGACGTCATCGGAAGGCGCAGGGACCATGGAGAATTTCTTCGTAAAATTGTCCGTTTACAAACCGCAATCCCGCTTTCGAATAAAACCTACACCCCGCTATAATTACTTTAGTAAGCTGTCCAGACCAATCAAAATGTTTTGCGCAATTGTGCAAACGTTAAAACAATTATGTATTGTGACGTCATCAAAAGGCGCAGGCCCCCGAGTCAATCTG